CCACGAAGTCATTAAAGTTTATATTACTATATGAAAGAGAGGTTTAGGGTTTATGTCTTGAGGGGTGTGTCGTGTGTAGGTGGACCGTTTCGCATGGACTTCCATGAACTTGAGCCTGCCTCAGTAAAGTAAGTCTGGGCAACGGGCATCATGCTTAATCAACCTTAAATGCCGACCCAACCAAGACACTTTGACCCAAATCACCCTCTCTGGTATCCACAGCGAAGAATGTCGGCTGCGACGAAATTCTGCAAAGATTAAACTCTGGATTGAGTCTGAGCTTGCCTCAGAGTCTACAACTGGAGCCGCAGAAGGCGCGGCCACTGCATCTTCACCTCTAGTTTGGTGGGCTTGTTGCTCAGGATATGTCTCAAACAAGTGATGCACAGTTGATGGGCTCTCCCTTTCAATCTGCATTGGGATGTCAGGACACTGGAATAAAACCGCTTTGAGTAAGGTGAAGTAGCATTCTGTCCATGGTCTCCTGCATTGTGGCCTACTTCCTGCAAGATTCTTGAGGTTTCTACCGGGTATGCACATTTATCCTACAAGCCCAAGCTGTTCGATAGGAAGAAGACTCGGTCCTCTCCGCGCTCGCAACTCTCCGGTTTAGGCTTTGGGGAATTTGGGGTGAAGGGGTCTGAAGACTTATTTCAGGCTTCGGGCTTCGGGTTTAGGGCCCGAGTGCCCGATATCATCCTGCTGTGAACCTCTAAACGTCAAGGCCCGAAACATGTCAACCGTAATTGATAAAAAACGAAAACTAATAAATACACAAATATCGATATATATATATATATATACATACATACATATACAATATATATATATATATATATATATTCACATGTATGTAGGTTTGTCGTTTAGTGCACTTGTTTAACAAAGTAAGCAACATAAAACAAGCAAATGCGCATGTGTATATATTGGCAAGAAGCATCTACCTGTATACACAAATACACGCATGTGCACATATACAAATATATATATATATATATATATATATATACACATGCATGCATGCATGCATGCATGCATGTATGTGTGTATACGTACCTGCATACCCAAACAATGTTAAAGGTTTCCTTCTCAGCTGCTGACAACAGCAAACCTGGAGGCACCAAGCCAGGCACTCTGCATGAAGTCCCCTAACATAAACTTCAAAGCGTGTGTAAAAGCAGTCACACCCCCCCCCCCCACATCTATGTGCAAATCCTTATGCAAACTCACTTAGACCCGCTACCCGAAATACTACATAACAAAACAAAGCCGAATGTAAACCAACTCCCAACCCTCTACCCTAAACCCAGCATGAAAACCTGCAGCCAGTGTAGAGTGATAAACACAATGCTAAACCCAGCATGAAGAATCGAAACCGCATGTAACCTACTAAACCCACGACCCCGCGAACCCACGGCTCTAAACCCTATGTGAAGACCTACTCTCAACCAACCCCAAACCTTGCTCGAAGCCGTTAGAAGGACTACACTACTACACCAAACCATATGCACACTCACCAACAAAATCACGAAGCCCGCAACCTATTGTCGAAACCTACACACCCGAAACCCCTCATGAGCTCCCCAGCGGCTGAGACTTTGCACCATGGAAAGAACCTGGGGTCTTCCCAAAGAATTCTGCGGTGGTTTTTGGAGCTTGGGTGTCTCGGTTTTAGGGTTTTGGGGCTTTTCGGAGAGTTTTCGGTGTTTGGGAGTCTTGGGTTTGGGTTGTGGTGGCTGTTTTTGAATTGTTTTTTTTTGTGGTGGGGTTCGGCCCGGCTTTCGAGCACTTTAGAGTGTTGGGGTTCACATTCGAGTTTGGGGTTTGCTGCATCAACCATCATTGGCAGACCATTGCACGGGCATTCGGAGTACTACTGTTGATGATATAAACCCTGCATTACCTTAAGGGCCCTAAACTATGGGAATGGTGGTATGATTCTCATTATGGGTAATGCAGGATTTTATATCATAAACCGTAGTGTTATCTGTCTTCTTGCTGCTGCTTTTGGCATTAACGAATACACTCCTCCTTTGCAGCAGGGAGGGGAGACTAAGGGTATACAGCTTCGTCAGTTTGCTTAGTTTGTGGCTTTAGGGCTTGGGCATTCGCGCTTATAACACATGGAGTGCTGGAACACGGCTTCGAACTCTATGGCTGATGCTTGGCGTTGAGGCGGCAAGATGGCCAGGACTTTTTCTCTTCAATTAATATATTTTCGAACACACTTTCAATGTAACAGCAATGAGCACAACCCCCAAACCCTAAACCCCAAACCCGGGCTTATGGGCTAAAGGTGCTGCGATCTCGGAGTCCCCACCCAGCGCCATGCCGACGAACGATCGCAGGCCGCGGCAGTGGCGGAACTGCTGGCCTCGGAAGCAGGAGCTCAACAGAGGGGCTTTAAGAACCGCAATAGGCAATAGTTAGGGTGTTGGCCCATGTTATAGTATGACTAGAAACGAACCCGAAAATCATGAGTATTCGAAATTATTCAGGTCCGATGTTCGTCTGATACTTAGCGATGACGCTGGGTCTTCGGGGTCTTAAGGCTTTTGCCCTTGCGCGTCTAGCGCT